GTAAACAATAAAATAAAATTTTCATAATTTCATGCGGATGAAGCCGCATGGGAACAGCTAGTACTAATATAATAAAACGTAAACACACACTTCTTAGTTATGTAGGATGTCAGTAATCACAGTACATTTTTTATAATTCTTTCTTTAATAAAAATCCTTACACTTACGATATGCTGTAAGCTATATATTTTCAAGCTATTTCATTTAGGGGGTGAATAATTTGGAAAAAAATAGTCATGGAAGTCTAGTTCACTTTGTCCAGTCTACATTAATATGGGTCTATCCCACCACTGGCTGATAGAGGCTTAGATAGCTTAAAGATGATGTAACTATCAGATAAGGTAACAAAATCCGATATTTCCATCACATATTTTACACATTGGATTGATATCAGATAATTACATTTTTTTCTATAATATAAGATGGCAAACGAGCAAGCGGCCACCTGAATCCACCGAAATGAAAAGCGACCGCTGTACATAAACTTCCGCAATTGCAGATGCGTTGCCTACCCTTCATTGAGGGAAAAGACGCACATAAAGAGGAAATTTACCCTTCCTATGCGTCTTCACCATCAAATCTACTTTTCCTTCCCATCCATTCCTCTTAAGAAAAGGGTGGAAATGGAAAGGGACTAAAATTAGGCCTCCAGCATCAAAAACCACAATTTGGTGGGACAGGTCCTAAATGTCTTTGTATTCAGATGAAGCTGTATGGGAATAGTTTATGTTAGTAATACTAACCTTCTAGTATTAACAATAGCATCAATATCCCCTCCATAGTTATCTTTGTCAGCATTCCGAGTAGGTCTGTATATGTGAGCCCCAACTGTGTCCTGGTTACGCCACGGCTTGTCGTATACCGTGTATGCTTCATCATCACCGTAACCTGGAGAAAAACATCCGTATGAAAAACTAAAAAGAATAAACTGCATACTCTATCATACTAATATTATAAATGCGATAGTTTAGATGGGTGGATGTTTGTTACAGTTTGTAGCCTAAACTGCTGAAAGGATTTCGATGTAATTTATCATATATGTAGAGGAAAGTCTGGAAGAACACATAGGCTACTTATATTTGTTTCTCTTTATTTCCACGCGGACGGAGTCGCGGGGCAAAGCTATTTAAAATAAAAAAAAGCTGTTCTCAATGACATTGGTAATCAATTCTATGTCATAGAGAATTTAAAATTCGACAAAAAAAAGTGATTATTTACTTTTATAAGTATGAAAGTAAAGAGTTTCAGATTATTGAAACAAACATTGAATTAATGGACTATCTTTCTTTATTTTAATTATCACTGTTGTTGCGACTTAGTCCACGTGAAATTAAAAATAATAAACAGCCTATGTTACTCCGAGATCACATAACTTTTGAAAGATTGTTTTGAAATCACCCCTGTAGTTTTAGAGTTATTTCAATATATTTCATATAAAAATATTTATATTTATATTTTATCTTTCCTTTATATTTAATCTTCCTTGATTAGTATGAAAGTAATGATATGTATTTTTCTATGTAACAAATAAAATCAAAAACTACTCGATCAAATTCAAAAATTCATTCAACATTACAAAGCTACAGTATCATTAAATGACATCTTACTAATATTATAAATGCGAAATATATAGATGGATGGATAGATGGATGGATGGATGGATGGATGGATGGATGGATAGATGTTTGTTAGCGTTTGTAGCCTAAACTGCTGAATGGATCTCCATGAAATTTGACACAGGTTTAGAGCATAGTCTGGAAGAACAAATAGGATACTTTTTATCCTGGGAATAGTTACGGTTCCCATGGGATTCATTAATTTAGTTTTTTATTGTTTACTCGATCATTCTGCCACGGTTCAACATATCTCATTGAAATTTAGCACAGATATAAAACAAAGTCTGGAGTACACATGGGACAAGCTTCATCACCGAGAAATGTCCGGTTCCCGAGGAATACGTAGCTTTTTGTAATTTTATAGTTCGCATATTTACTAATACCACGCGGACGAAGCCGCAGGCAACAGCTCGTAGGATATATTTTTACTAATATTTTCCAAACTTGAGACAAAAAAACATAACTCACCGCTGTCCATTCCCTTGCTGTTGTTGAACAACCTCTGGTCGAACATTCCCTCCCCTCCCTGAGTACTCTTGGCTGGCATACCGAGAGCTATCTGCTCTGATATGTCCCTTTCCCTGTCCTTCACCAATTTAGATCTGAAATACACATATTTAAATTTTAAATTAAATCTGTTATATAAATGCTACTTTATCCATATCTATACCTATACTAATATAATAAAGCGTAAACACACTGCTTTGTTATGTAAGATGTCAGCACTCATAGTATATTCTTGGATAATTCTTTCTTTAATAAAAAGCCTTACATTTACGACCCTCTTAAAGTCATACATTTTCACGCTATTAAACTTAGGTGGTAAATAAACTGGAAGACATTTATGTAGGAAAGGGACAAAAACTTCAAGCAGACAAGGAAGCATGGTTGTCATGGTAACAGTAATTGTTATCAAATGTCAACGGTCTGTTGTTATTTGTGCATTTGTTTTGCAATTGACAAATGTAAACAATATAATAAAGTTTTTATAATTTCATGTGAATAAAGCCACATGGGAACAGCTTGTGATTAGAATAAAACATATCATAAGAGTGTATATTATCCTACCTCTTATCAGGCGCAGCTCTGGCAAGGTTTCTCTCTCTCTGCCTATCCTTGTGTCTCTCAGCGCGCAGGCGGTCGCGTTCCGCCTTATCCGCCTCCGATAGTCCCTCCTCCGTCTCCGGAACCTCTGTCTCCTCCTCTGCCGGTCTGATACCTGCAGAGAATATACAACAAATATACTTCAATACCATTGCATTGATTATAGTTTGTACTTCTCTTGAACTATACTAAATAAAAATATTAAAAAACACGCTTTTGTTAAAACAAGGTGTTCTACATATTTTTTCCTTGTAATATTCCATTTGTTTTATTGCAATTTTCATGTTTATGTAAGTTATGTACATTTTAAAACAATCAACTAAAAACTAGTGATCATTAAAATATGATTTACAGAACACCCTATATCTTAAAGTAATTTTGTTAAATTACTACTTTACCTATTGCTATTAGGTTAAGTAAGATAAAAATTTAATATTAAAAATTTAAAATTGGCAAAAATTCAGACAATCAAGACATTTTAGATTTGTAAAAACTTTTATCTCATAGTAAAAAAAATATACAGTTTTTTAACATACCTGCTCTATGATCTCTCGCTCTTTGCGCCAACATTCTCAAATGTTCTTCTTTCTTCTCCTTCTCTCTCTGCGCTAATCTCCTCTCCAACTGAGCTCTCGCCTCCACTGCTTCTCTAGCTTTCCTATCAGCTATATACAAAGCTTCTGCGAGCTTCGAGAAGTTCTCATTAATATGTACTTGTTGTAAACCTCTACCGTCCGCTGCCAAACGCTTATCCAATGGTATTGTGTAACCTGAAAGAAAGAATCTATTTAATTTTGTATGTTTGTGCTTAATTATATATATGTGACCCGCGACTTCGTCTGTGCGGAATTACAAACAAACTTTGCAATGTGTTCTTCCATAAACTGGTAACAAATTTTATCGAGATTGGTTAAACTGTTTTGGAAATACTCAGTAATAAACCTCTATCCATACAAATATACCATTTATATATACTAGCTGTCGCCGACGACTCCGTCCGCGTGCAATTACCAAAAAAACAAAGTACATAGTCTATGTGTACTTCCAGACTATCCTCTACATCTGTGACAAATTTCATTGAGATCAGATCAGCAGTTTAGGCTACAAACTCTAACAAACATCCATCTATCCATCTAAACATTCGCATTTATAATATTAGTAAGAAGTAAAATTAGTCTAGAGAGATAGATATAGATTAGTAGTGTATTAGTAGTATTAGTAAGTGTATGTAGGAGACCTTTAGCGTTCTTCCAATGTGAGACACACGGAGGCACCTTCCAGTCTCGCTGCTGTTTAACAGAGACCCTGCGCGGAGGCGAGTGCAGCACGGGCGCGGGCGGCGAGGGCGCAGCGCGAGGGATCTTCTTGTTGATTTGGAACCGCGGGGGCTCCATTGGATCCGCCTGGGCCTCCACCATCCTATACACATTCTGCTTAAAATAAACAAGCTACGGCCACACTTGTGTAACAGAGGAGTCATACAACACTGCTAGTATCTGAATACAGGTTAAGGTCACTTGGAGGTCAATATAAAGGGGTTGCTGGAGGTTCTACCGTAATTTGCCCCCACGCTCATAGTAAAGTTGCGGAAACAGTAACCTCGACTACTACCTACTACTGTATTACTGTGCTGTAAACTGGCTGTAGCTCGTGACTTCCAGCATGTGGAATAAACAAAAAGAAAAAACAGAGCCATATTAACATTGCTTTTGAAAACAGTCCAGTAATTTTTGAGTTATTTAAATACATACAAAAATACAAATCTTTCCTCTTTATAACATTAATATAGATGAGGGTTTCTATTTACACTGCAAATTGATTGTTTACTTTTTATTTTGAGACTAGTTGTCATCCTACCGAATTAAAAAAAAAACTTAGTAAATAGCTTATGTAACTTTCAGATCTATTATCTAGAGATATCATCTAACTTCCATGCTGAGGGGATAGTATTTTATTAGATTCAGTAATGGAAACTTATTAAACTACCATTTTCACTTCTGACTTGAATAAGCAACATTAAAAACAAAACAAATTTGACATGGGGGCCTTCAAAAGGAGAGTGTATAGCTACCTATTAGGCTAGCGCGTACCATCTTTCGACTGTGGGACCACTACCTTCAGGTGGGATCATGGTCAAGCAATCAAGTCAACAAATTATAAAAAAATAACTAAAATCTAGATAACAAGAGTTTATTTATAATAACAAACCTGATCACTCTCTGCTTAGCTCCGGAGTTAAATGTGCCTCCTTGTTGTGCTGGAGTATATCTTATGTATTGAGCTGGAGCCTGAAATATACATGTACTATCAACAAAACATAGATATTGTTCTATTATACATAAAGGCACATACAATACATACAAATGAATAAATAGAAGAAACTAATTTAAGTCCTTTTCTCTGTACCACCCTTTTTTTATAAGGAGATGATGGGAAGGGGAATTGGATTTGATGGAGGAGATGCATATGAAGGAGAAATATCCTCTTTATGTGCGTCTCCTCTGTTGGTAGGGTATAAGGGTAGGCAACGCGTCTGCAATTGCAGATGTCTATGGGCAGCGGTCGCTTTGCTATTTTGGCGGATTCAGGTGGCCGCTTGCTCGTTTGCCACCTTATGTTATAAAAAAATAACTCGATATCTTAGATGTCACGGAAATTCTTCCAAAAAGTGTTCAAATAATATTTAACATATAAAGTACTGGCCTTCTACTTTAAATATGCGGAATTAAAAAAAAAATAGTCTATCTATCTATCTTTTGTGTTAATGGCGTTTCCTGAGAGATTTCGCCAATGTCAAGTATTATATATACTCTTACGCAACTAAGACAACCACGATATATATACAGGAGTCGGAAACACGACAGTAAGACGAAAGAAATAGTCTGTGTTTTATTAGACTATGTTATACATCTATGCTAAATTGATTCAAGAATCATTCAGCCGTTCAGGATATTGCTAACAAGGAACATCCATCCAAAGATTCACATTTAAAATATACTAATTGAAGATTTTACAATCATTGGCATTTTTAAGCATCTTTCCTATAAATATAATATTAGTAAAACTGAACTTACAGCTTTCGGTGCTGCTTTAACAGGCATGGCTGCAGATATTTTAGCATTTGTCAACTTCTCAAGTGCCTGTTTCGTCTTTTCCGTGATATCCTGAATATCATCCTCTGCCGGCTTCTGGAGACTGGGATCATCTTCCGCTAACACTTCAGATGGCAACAGATCTGTCAGCTTTGAATATATTATCTATAAAAAAAGGAACACTTTAGTGGAATTTCAGATAATTCTTTATAGTGCATACAAAAAACAAATAATTCTAGAATTTACCTACTAACTACTAAAATATACATCAAATTTAAATAACACATGAATTGGGCTTGTCTAATTTACATTATGACAGTAAAGTAGGCCAGTAGCGGTCTAAATTGATGGCAAATAACCATCATTATGTAAAGAATAACTGGAAGCAGTATACAGTACATACCAGACATGTAATCTGTCTAACTGTAGGCCAAATATAACTCAGTTATAATTTGTTATTGCCACTAATGTCGATAACAAATTTACTGCCACTAATATGCCTGGCTATTATAATTACTTTTTTTCACTTGCAAGATATACTCGTAGATTAAATAGAAAAGTTTTATTTTTCCTAATTCCCAGATTTAAGATTCTTACTAAAAAGAGCCTACTGTTAACAATATTTTTATTTGGAAGATGAAAATGACAAAATATTTCTATGTAAATTTAAAACTTATTTAAAATTTAAAGGATTTTTTCTATTTATGGACAACAAGCTGTTGTCCGCGACTTCGTCCGTGTGGTATTAGAAAACACAAGAACTATATAAATAACAAAAAGCAACGTATCCCGCTTGAACCGGACACCTCGGGGATGAAGCTTATCCCATGTATACTTCAGTCTTTGTTTTACATCTGTGCCAAATTTCAATAAGATATGTTGAACCGTTGCAGAATTATCGAGTAAACATTAAAAAACTAAATTAATGAATCCCACGGGAACCGTAAGTTATCCCGGGATAAAAAGTAGCCTATGTGTTCTAGACTATGCTCTAAACCTGTGCCAAATTTCATGGAGATCCGTTTAGTCGCTCAGGCTACAAATGCTAACAAACATCCATCCATCCATCTAAACTTTCGCATTTATAATATTATTAAGATGTGTTAACTTCATTGTTTAAACATCAGAGAAAAATAGTAACCTTATCTGCACTATGTCCTTGTCTGGCAATAGCTGAATATTTAACTCGTCCAGCTTCATCCAGCTGGACAGCCAGTGCATTTGACATACTCTCCTTGCCACGGGCCCCCATGCCAAGAGGATACTGAGCCACATGAATCTCCGGGAATGCACCTCCATCTAAAACAAACAGTTTCTACTATAAATACTGTTACATTTAATTAAATTAAATCACTTTAATTTTTTTTATTTTATTAGTGGTTGAGAAAATAAGGAGTAAAAGGTTAGAGTGGTGGAGTGAGTGGGCATGTTATGAGAAAGGATGAATCGCATGTAACAAGAAGGATGTTAGCTATGAATGTGGAGGGGTACATTGGTAGAGGTAGACCTAGAAAGAGATGGATGGATTGTGTGAAAGGTGACATGATCAAGAAGGAAGTGATGACTGAGATGACGGATGATAGAGTGCTTTGGAGGACGAAAACCCGGTGCGCCGACCCTACGGGAGTAGGATAAGGCAGGGGAGATGATGATGATGACTTTAATTTTTATTATTGCTCTCTCACTGTCTATGTATTATAGCATCGTACTTGAGGGTATCACTAAACAATAAATAGACTACTTATTATACTTGGCATTCCTGTCAAATTTTAATAGGTTATATTCTCGAAATTCCACTTTCATACCTCCATAATCCTCCTCCGCGCGTGGCACCCATCCTTTCCTCTGTCCATACGGTGGTACGCTTGTCTGGGACACGACCAGGGCGCTGCCAACACGCTGGCCCTGCCGTTCATCATCTCTGTCCCAGACTTGCTGCACTGGTGCAGGTAATAAGCTGAAAATGTACCATGTGTCTAATTATATATACTAGTATAATTAATCGCTAGAACATTAACTGCTGTAATGTTAATGAAGACAAAATAAGTAAACGTAAACATGTTATCCACTTCTCAAACACAAAGTTGACCATTAATGTTTAGCATTATAGCGTAAAATAATTGTTTATAACATTTCACATACAAAAAACTTCCTAAATTTAAAGCTGTGTTCAAATTAAATAAGTAATTTCTTAAATTATTAAATAAATTAAAACATTCAACACACCTTGACAAAGACGCCATTTTAATGAATGACCACAGATAACGGTTAATAGATAACGAAAATTACAGACGGCAGCAAGGAGGCGAGTCAGAGTTTTAAAGTTCTCGAGTCCGAGAATCAAAATTTTTGGGAAAAACTTACACTCAACTAATCAACTGTGCAATTGATACCCAGCTAGCTGTTTTATTTCTGTTAATAAATGCTACATTGAAATAATGGATAGAAGTTATATGATTAGATTGGAATATTACACGATACACTGTTCTTGCTCATTCGTTTCAAAATAAAACATAAACCGCCAATAATTTGAAATAAATTAACATGTTCTTATCAAGATAATACTAATTCAATGAATTATTTAATTATATACGTGTAATATGAATCAAGAGGAAAACTTGCTGAGATCATTAATCTCGTTTCAATTTCATTGAGAGGTGGAACAACTGTCAAATTCGTATATAAATGAAGTAGGCTGCGAACGTCTCTCTTTTATAACCTCAAAAATGCGCGAGAAGTATCACTCAGAGATGGCGAAGTGAGTTTATTTTTAATATTAATAAGTGTTTAAGTGAACGGATCATCACCATGCCGTCGAAAAAGAGAAAATACAACGCAAGATTTCCCGCGGTATGTTTAAATTTCCATTTACGAGCTTAGAAATGTAAAATATGTGTTATTGTTTTCGTTCGTAATCCCCTTTGGATTTGAGATATCATGACATTGTTTGGTTTTAGGGTCGAATTAAGAAGATTATGCAAACGGATGAGGAAGTGGGGAAGGTTGCACATGCAGTGCCGATCATAATCTATATCCTTTTCAAATTAGAATTTTAAAAACAATAATACGCAATATCGAGAATAAGACAATTTTTAAATCATGCGTAGTTCACACAGATGAGATTGTTGTGCTTTTTTTTTATTGTTTCTTACTAAATTTCTTTCTTACTAAATTCTTAAATTGTTTAACAATATTTTAAATTGTAAGCATATTACATTGAAAACGTTTTTATGTAGTCAGCTAATTTCGTAAATTCTTTTCCAATTCGTAAAAATACTAAATGTAAACATTAAAAATCCTATTGGAAACCTCTATTGATTGTACTAAGTCAATCTAAACTGGAATATGATTTCAACTTTTGAAGTCTATTACTTGAATTTATAACTTTATCACTAAGTATTATACTTAATTAAAGTAACTTCAGGATATCACTTTATTTGGCCATTATTAATAACACTACACAGAAATCATTGGAATCTTTTCTAAAACTACCTTCCTTTGAAGTTTTCGTGATAAATGATCAATCACACTAATATCATAAATGTGAAAGTTTAGATGGACGGATGTTTGTTAGAGTTTGTAGCCTAAATGACCGATTTCAACGAATTTTGGTATGGATGTAGAGGATAGTCTGAAAGAACACATAGGCTAGTCACTTTTTTTTTTAAAATTCCATATGAATAGAGTCACGGGCCAAAGCCAGTAATAAAATATTTGTAAAAAGGTTTTAGTTTAATTATAGGACTATAAAAGTCAGTTTCACCTCTGCCCTCATATGACAATGTAGATGATTATCTGAACTACATATTGTTATCAACCATCTAACATTTGTGTTTAGCATTGAAACTTCTAAATTTACATTAATATCATTTGTATGATCTCAAATAGCAAAATGAACAGTAAACTAACTGTAATATTGTTCCAGAAACATCTAGCTTGACATAGGTTTTCAATGTAAATACAAAGAGTTGTCATCTCTAATTATAATGTGTGGTTTACACTAGTCCAGTACAGTTGGTTAGTGCTCTAGACCTTCAATTAACTGGAGTGTGAACACCAATAGGCTCCAATGATTGATACTAGCCATCGCAACTCTCCAACTGTACTGGCTAAGTGTGAACGGGGCATCAAAGCAGTGAAAAGGCTACTATTTATGTCATATAATTTTATACTGATTGACAAAAAGGTGGTGTTTCAGGGATTTACATGTTTTTCTTTGTTATGTAAATCCTTGGTACCCTGTAGCCTAAATAACTTAACTATATTTGAAGAGTGTAAAAACCATGGGTTCCCAATTTTTATTTTTTGCTGACCACTTTTACATTTTTATAAAAAAAATAATTTTTATTATTAAATCAAGTAAGTTACAAATTAATCAGTTGTAAGGACTTCCTTTTTAGTAACCAATAGGCACTTGTGTTAGGAAGTCCCGCTCTTCTGTGTTCTTATATTCTTGCACAATCTATGCTATGATAAGAAATTTATAAAGGCCTTTATATAGATTCTTAGATAGACCTTGACGGCCTTGTATACCTCTGTCACTGTTCTTCTTACTTACTGCTCTGTCTGGTCCAACACCAGCTCACTATATCCCCATTGAGGGGCTTGGAGCCTACCCTCGAGGATGATGAGGCCATAGTCAACCATGCTACTGTGTGGGTTGTTAACTTTACACATATCATTGGATTTCTCCTCCAACAACTGCAGGTTGCAATACAATTTTCTTCACCATAAGAAGCTCTGAGTACTCACTGGCTTCTAAATAAAAAAGCATTTGTGGATATTTTGGCTTTTGCACACTGGTTACTAACCATTGTCAAGTAATCTTAATTTTATTTTATTGTTCAACCTATAGTGCTAAAGAATAAAGTTGTTATTACTCTTAATGGTCATTGAACTTTGTAAAACCCGCTGTGTATTCCCTCAAGCGATCTCATGCTAAATTGACTGATTGTTTAACAGTGATACAAACTGGATTATACCAGTCAAGATATTAGTAAAACGATTTTGTGAACAGTGCTCTTTGTATTGCAAGTAGTAGCAAGTTTGCTCTTTCTATAAATAGTCCCTAGTAGGGTTGGGTGTCAGGCAGGCGGCCGTTTTGTAAAAAAATAAAAGCCAAAACATTTTTATCAATGGATTATGTGAAAGAGGATATGCTTAAGAAAGGAGTGGATTCAGATATGACGGCTGATAGAGATGTATGGAAGCAGCACATACTGTGCCGACCCTCCGTAAGGGATAAGGGCAAGTTGATGATGCTCTTTGTATTGCAGATTATATAGTTTGTATGTTTGAAAAAATAATTTCATATTAAATAATGAGTGTTATAGAGATAATTCTTTTGTAATTAACTGTACTATGTTATGTTATTTAGGATGTCAATACACAAGCCAGCTAATGTCTTGCTGTCCTTCTAGTATTATTCCAAAGGATCTAGCAACCTTTCACATCGCGTAGTGAACAATGTATTTGACCTTAATTTACTTGTGTATATTGTTAAAAAAAACAAAACATTCATATAAAAGTAAAGTAAAAGGTGTACTGGTGAAAGTTATTAAAATTGGTCCAAAAGCTAAATAAAAACAAGTTTTTCTTTTTATGGTATTAACATTGTTAAATATGGTATAATGAGGTTCGAGGTTTTTATCGTATACAATTAGCAATTATTTCCTTGATTCGTGTTCATTATGATCAATACCTCGTACATTGGAGCTGTTTGTGGAGTCGCTGCTGTGTAAGGCGATGTCAGTCACGTTGAATCGCAACGCGAAGACTGTCAGCCCGTCACACTTCAAGCAATGTATCCTGGCGGAGTCCAGATTCGACTTCCTCAGGGATCTGGTGAGTTCAACTACTTCTGTGGAAGATTCAGTGGAGAAGTTTAGAGGTAGAGTCCGCTTTAACATCCTCACACTGTAGGGCTGACTCGCCCGGTGTAATACCACGACCACACAGAAGACAGGTGTGAAGTGGAAGCAATTCCGCGTACACTCTGATGAGTGTGATGTCGAAGGCCTAATTTTAGTCCCTTTTCCTTTCCACCCTTTTCTTAAGATAAAAGAATGGAAAGAAAAAGTGGATTTGATGCAGAGGAAATAGCCTGTTCTTGTGCGTCTTCTCTTCCGTCGATCACAGGCGAATTTAGGTGGCCGTTTGCTCGTCTGCCATCTTATAATATTATATAAAATAAAATAGTTGAAGGGATAGGGTAGTAGTAAAATTACTTTTTATTATTCCAATAATGCCTTAATAAAAAAACAATTGTGTGTGTAAACATTACTTTTTTTTACAATTCCAGGTGAAGAATATACCAGATGTTTCACCTGCAGATGAAAAGGACATGAGCGCGGAGAGTTCACCCAATTCTTCTAGGTGAGATTCTATTTGAACAAATGTCCATCATCAATTTGCCCCTGTCCCTACGGAGGGTCGGCACAGTACGCTCCATATATCTCTATCAGCCGAGATATCTGAATTCACTCTCTTCTACATATAGTCTTTCACACCATTCACCTTTACTTTTTTAGAATTTCCTCTACACATACATACCACATACCTATCATCTATCACACTATGTAAATACATTTAGTTTTTTAAAATGTTTTCCATTTCATAGATTTCCAGACGCAGCTCAACCGCCTCGGAGGATAGCAAGAGAAGATTCCACCAGTTCTAATAGTTCCGATATATCGCAACTGTCTCATCATAAAGATAACCTCAAAAGAACTTATTCAGAAACCGAAGTCACCCGACAACGGAACGAAACAATCACTTCCACAGATTCTGCTATAGACTTAACTAAGAAAGATGGACCCAAACAAGTTAGAATAGCAAATTTCTATCAAGAAACATTAGTCGACGAACATCCTAGCGTTATCACAATCAATCCAACGTACGCGAGCCCTCAGCCTTCGACTTCTAGTTACGTAAATCTCACTAATGTCGAAGGTAATAAGGTCGAAGTTACCGTGCCAAAGCCGAAACATAAGCCAATGCTTTATGTAGATGTTAAAAATAACAAACCTAAAACACCGACACCGCGAACACCCGTCACTCCAGTACTGAATATAGACTTTACTAAAAATCTAGCCAAACCAGAGATCAGAGTTCTTGATACTGCGGTGGCGAGTATCGTCGGAGTGCCAAAGAATGAGAAACCTCCGAAGTTACAGAGGCGAAACTCTAAAGTTAAACTTGACACGAAAAAGTTTGATCCCAAACCTCTAATTCAGACCCCGCCGGTTGATATCGACCATTTGAATTCCGGTAATTTACAAATTGACGAAGACTATGATACCTGAATAAGTAAGTTTTGTTTTATCTTGTTTAATTTGTTGTGCTATGTTTTAGAGGGTAGACGTGAAATTTGTTATCCAATTAATTCTTATATATCACTTATAAATAACATTTTTATAAAATTAATTAACAAGAAATGTTGTCTATCTTAAAAATATAGTTTTTAAAGTGATAAACAGTTTGCTCAAAATATTTCAACTACCCACATTGAATTTGCAACGAAATAATTTAAGGAATAAAATCTCTGATAGCTTAAATAATTGCAAAGTTATGTTAAGTATGTGGAGTAAAATATATTTTCGACTCACAGTAACCGAAACGGAATCTTTTTTATAATATAACTAAAAATGCAAAATAACTTACCGTATTCTGGGATAATGACGTAATTTCTTGTATTAAGGCGATGCAATAAAGAAGACAAAAAACGCCTATACTGGTTTTTAATTTTCCCGGTCAGGCTATGAAATTGTTTTTTTTTTTAATTATTACAGATAATATTGGCAACACTGTTTTATTAGTTATTGTTTTTCTACGTTTAAAAATAGAATCTTTAATTTTGTTTCAATAATTGTTAATATGCTTTTTACCTTCTACCCTTAAAAGATGGACTAAGGTAGATTTGAGAATGGATTCAAATTGTTTTTTTTTTTTAATTTGGATAACATTTCTCATGATCTTTGTTTACCATTATAGGTATGTTAATGATATTTCTTTGTGTAGTTGTTTTTTTTTATGAGCGTGATTTAATCGTATGAATGAATTCTTGCTTTTCTTTTTAATTGAAATTTTTTAATGAGATTTTGTGTGTTTAAATTGGCCAGTAGTTGTTATTTCTGGTGTTTGAAGATGAAATTTTAAAATACCTTGCATGGATGGATATTTTTGATTATGTCTATTTTGTCGGATTTGGTTGGATATGAAATTTTAATATGATTGCTTTTTACGTGTTATATGTTTAAAAACACATAGTAATTGTTACTACAGTTACGACATATTGAACATGGCGGCTTACTTGTTAATTATAATATACTAGCTGTTGTTAGCTTCTTCGCCCGCGTAAAATTAAAAATAACAGTAAAAAAGATAGCCCATGTTATTCACTGATAACGTAGCTTTTTAATGGTGAAAGAATTTTCGAAATCGGCTCAGTAGTTTTTGAGTTATTTCAATATATACAAAAATACAAATCTTTCTTCTTTATAATTTTTATATATCTTTTTTTATATAATCAGTGTTTCCCGCATGTATTTATATTATCCGTTCCGTCCGATGTAAAAATAAACCCATGTTCAATTCAACGTTATTTAAAAAAAATTACAGTTATATATAAAATTTTATTAATTTAAAAATATAACTTTTGGCTTATGTTTCTGCATTACGAATGAAAAAATATATATTATATGCATTTACTATATTTTTTACCCAACTTATTTTGTTTTTACATCTCAAAATATGTATAGTGGAAATTCAATTAAAAGAAATTTTAACATAATAAGGGCCTATCCCACCACTGACAGAGGCTCAGAAAGCTTAAAAATGACGTCACTGTCAGTTAAAGGAACAATATCCGATATTTCCATCACATTTATTATTTGGTAGGACAGACCCGAAAACACCATTTATCATCAATATAAACTTTTAAATAATAAATAACTCCACAGACAATAAATGATATTGTCAGTTAGTGAATTTAAAAGTGTAATTTTTCAGTTTAATTTAATTCGATCATAATTTCCATTTTTAAACTCTTGTAACTTAAATACCCCTTGAAAGTCACTCAGGTTTCAGTAATTTTTTGTTTTCTGTGTATACTTTTATGGTTTATCTCTTAATATTGTGTGCACGTCTTTGACTACTGTCGCACAACTGTCTTGTCCTTTGATTCCTATGACCTATGGATAGTATATATAGACATATGGAGGTACACTACTCGATTTTTAGTTGTGCTAAACAGTTGAAGGCTGCGAAACAATCGACAATCGCACAACTGTTGTGCGACAGTTTAGTCAGAGGTGTGCCCGCTCTAGTACTAAAAAAGTTTGGGAACCACAGACATAATTAAAAATTTATTTATAATTATATAAATTACTGATTATTGTTGGTAGCCTAGTATGAATGTGCTCTCAATATATAGATAACTGGTCATATATTTCAAATATATATATCTCACTAACATTATATAATATTGCACATTGCATATAACACATAATCTATGTAATTGTTGTAATTAAATGAGTATGGTCTTAAAAATTGTTATTACAAGAAATTCACTCTGTTAAAAAGTTTTAGAATTCTAGAATCTATTTACAATTACAGTGATTTTTGTATATTAACTGGAGTCACGTCGAGAGATAGACGTATACACAAAAGCTAAAGGTGCAAGAGAGATAGATATGTCTTCTGGTTTCTCGCTTTGTAATTGCAACCTAATGTCAATTTCAGATACGTCACTTTTCGCGCCTTTGAAATACTATAAACAAATAAAAAATATTCATATTAATGTGTTCAAATAATTGTTATAACTCAATAGTCTTTTAAAATGCTAGAATAAAATTATAAATCCATATGTAAATATGTTAAAATGCGTACGCTAGAGGATTTGTACGGATTGTTTACTGTTTGTGCTTTAAATTTAAAAAAAAACTACAATACTTTGTCAATTACGTTATCAACATCCAAAGATATCGAGTAAAGTTTATTTTTATAACAACTCTGTATTAAATATCTTGTAAATTATCTGGAAATCGTCTTTTTTTTGTATGTGTGAATCATAGATATTAAGAATGGATTCAGTTTTAAATAGCTTTTTAACTCCTGGCATAAGTGTAAAAACCTCTTCAATATTATTCAGTTATTTAATATATGTTGTAAAATTATGTTAGTTATGAATTTGGCCGAGGCGGCATTGTTTTTTTTAATTGTCCCTTTCAGCTGCAATTTGGTTTATTTTTAATGAAGTGTAAAGATATGCATTCAATAATACACGCTCCTTTCTAAATGTCGGTAGTCTGAATTTCTAGTCGCTAAATGTTTTCGATTTTTACAACTAGATGGCGTCTTTGCAAAATGTTATGTTTTGATTTCTATGCCTTAAGAAAATAAAGTTGGATTTCTTCGGAGTACTGTTAAGGATTTCTTCAAACTTTTAATGTATCCTGCGATTAATGCTAAGTTTGTGTGTGCGTGGAATATTCTCGAAAGCAATAACTTCTAGAAGGGTATGGATTGTAAGAAAATGGATTGTGTACAACGCTATATGTTTTATGTATGTTGTAAATTATAATAGAAATACAAATATTGGTGATACGTAGATGTGAGTTTTATTGAATTATTTTCTCAAATCATATCATAAAATACACGAATTAATGGGCGTTGCCAGACGATTAAGAGCGCATTGATGACCTAAGGGGACAGACTAATGATCGAGGAGGGGGCTAATAGTAAAAATCATTTTTTACTCCAAAGATGTCGCTTAATGTTTAATTTTTTTTTGATGTATTCGTTAGGAATTGCAGGTATTTCAGTTTGTTTTTTACATTTTTTGACTATCGGACGGGGGAGTTTAGCTACTCTACCCCCCTGATGCACATGGATTTAGAAAGTTGTAGTAAAGCTGATGTGCGTTAAAAATCTCGATGTTTCAAATTAAAAATCAATTAAAGATCTTAACGACCTTAGTGGTCTGTTAACAATCAATTTTCACACTTTATACAAATACTTGACATTACGAGGTAATAAATTTGATAATTCAGTGGGATTTTATAGCCCATTTCGTCGCTTGTAAACGTCACTACGGCAGTTACGGCCAAATATTGAAATGAAAGAGCAGGCGTACACCTATAACTAAGCTATCGCACAATCGATTGACGATTGCTTCGCAGCCTTCAACTGTTTAGTTGCACAACTAAAAATCGAGTAGTGTGCGCACCTCCATATAAGCTGATAGGAATCAACGCGAGACTAAAAAGTTGTGCGCGCTTTAAATACTTCATTTCGCGGTATTAGAATCTGATAAATGTTCTGTAAAGTGTTTGAAGTTTAAACGTGGTTTTATCATTTAAGAAGTTACATATTTAACTTTTAGCACTTGAGTTGTAATCTACAAGTCCTGGGTTCGAATCCTACCAATGTGATTTTTCGAATTTCATTTGTACATAATTTACCAGACGTTCTTACCGTGAAGGGTAACATCGTGATGAAATCTGCACATATCGGCAAAGAAAGAAGATAAGTATGAAGTCGACCAACCCGCATATGGCCAGCGTGGCTGACTAAGGCCTAGTCACCCCTAACTTAGGGTAAGCTCCGGGCCCCTTATTGGGGATATATAGTGAGCTGGTGATGTGATGATTCAGCCTTATATCGCAAAAGGAATGAAATAAAATCAAATATTGTCGTCATGTACAAAAATATATTGTTTTAATGTTGTTAAATTAAATTAATGTTACTAAATATTAACAAATACTTAGAAATAAACTAAGTTTAGTGGGACGTAAAATTTTAACAATGACATTTAATTGAACATACAAAATTGATACAGTTGACATACCAGTATTAAGCCCTGTCCCACCATATTGTAAATTGTCTCATAACAACCCAACGTGTAAAATATCTGATAGACATATCGGATTTTGTTCCCTTATTCATTGACGTCATTTTTAAGCTATCTGACCCTTTATAAGCCAGTGGTGGGACTGGCCCTTAAAGTTTCATTGTTTTTCTACTTATAATCGTACCTGCGACAGGCTTCAATTTGTTGAATTTTGTGACAATATCAAGGGTTTTGATGTTAAGTTTATATTGACAAACATTGAGATTCCTTCCCTAAAATTTTGTCCCGATGAAATTAAAAAACTTAAAACTAAAACATATGAAACAATATAGACAAAGGCACCTACGATAACAGTCTGTTGCGTTCTAACTTAAAGCTAAACTTAACTAATTAAAGATCCCGTAATAAAAATAACATAAAACTTGATAAATTTAATTAGGTACTTGGGTATTATAAAGTTAAGATTAAAATTTCATTATGGTCCTTCGAGCAGGATATTTTAGATCCAAGTCAAATTTATTGCCTCACATTTACTCGTTAATTGCTAATTCATTGGAGATAAAGGTACCTTTTCAAATTTAACAAGTACTTTTCATTATGTTCATATAAATTAAAATATTAATACTGATTACAATTACTTATAATATTACTATGGTAAATAATTGATGGCGTTATATTTACATTGTGGCATTGATTATAATTTAGTTTAAGAAAAATGTATTAAAACCCGCATTTTTTTTTTCAACAATTACAATTAAAATATACAACCAACACAATAATTAATAATAAATTAATCCTAAAACTGCCTTAAATTATTTCTGACATATCATTTCATATAAGTATGCAAAGAAGTGAACTATACCTTCGTAAAAATCTAGAATATAATGAGCACCTTGCTTAATATTTATAATAAGGCACTGTAATATTAATTTACCATCACTATAAGTACAGTAGAACCTAAATAAATAAAAGTTTAAGGGAAACACAAAATATTTTAAGTTATAGAGGTTTTAAGTTATCAAGGGTCTATATTGTAGAGGTTTTTGGCTCTGATGGGAAGGGAACATATTATTTTTTGAAGTTATAGAGGTTTTTAAGTTATCGAGGTTCCACTGTATATAGGAAAAAAAACATAAACACATTATTTTTATTGCATTTAGTTTGATTTAATTTTTATGATATTTGTAAAATATAAAGGCTATTTTATGTGGGGAAGACTTTTATGAGATATAAAATACACACAATACCATCTACAAATGTTTACAATTAACAATATAAATTAGTTATTTTATTATTAATAAGTACCTTTATAATAAACGCCCAATTTTGGAATGTATAGGACGGTCTTTATGTAGTTTAAAACATGAAACCAAATGATAGAATGGACGATTTTGTAAATTATTGTAAAACAGCGTTTTCATTTAAAAAAAATAAAAAAACGGCGGAAATACGTTAATAAAAATTTACTCAACATTTTTTTTAAACTTTCTTACAGAAAAATTGTAGCCCAATTTAACGGGAATTAAGCAGGAGCGAAGCTCACTCACAATAAATTATTTGCAATTTAAAATAATTCACAAATAACACCACTTAATCCGTAACAAAATTACAACCCAAAAATTACGTGCATGAGAACAAAAGGCAGAATGTATCAAAGAATTTGTTTTAATACGTATCATAATAGCGTGAACTTTTCGTATCAAACCATACTAAATCTAATAAAAGCTGTGAGTGAACGTAAAGAATATTGACCCTTATGCTCGGCAAGTCGGGTTCAATCGCCTCGAGCGCTAATTACAGGGTAGTCGGGATCAAAATCGAAAACCTCACGCGTGTTTATCGTATGAATCATAACTTTATTTTATTAATAATGAAAACGCTATTAACAACCGTATTAAAATCTTTTTTCAACTATTATTTAACTTCTATTAAACATTATTAAAAGTTAGGTCTTTTATTAAAAACTGTTCCTTCACTAGTCTACGAGTGTGGATTTTCATACATTACACATGTAAAAAAATTAGACAGAATAGATTTTTGCAATACACATTTCAACTGAATTCATTACCTTCATATAGACTCTCACACACTTCCAACAATCTCAATACAGGGCTGATGTTATATGGAAACAGAGATTTCGAAACCAACCTGCTTATTTGCAGTCGTAGCCTTATCAACACTCGCATCGTATCATCTAGACCCCTACTCCCTCCAGAGTCCGTCAATTGGCAAGTATCAAGAAATTTAGGCCAATTCCTTCGTACATACTTTAAAAATCTCAGCAAATACAACAAGAAACATGTCTCATTGCTCACTAAATAATCTAAAAGTACATCACTGTCATGCGACACGATTTTCAAAAACTCTATAAATGACGATATAGGGTTCAACATTGGTATTAAATCTGGATACATAGAATTTCTATATACAATACCAACTGTTATATCTAATGTACATACCATCGATTCAATTAGATAATCATCTTGTTCACTAAACAAATGTATGAGCATTTTCGTGAACGGTGTCTCCGGATGGAACTCTAAACTATTTCGTATGAACACATCCAGTTTCTTCAACACATCTCGTATAGATCTTTCAACTATTTGCATATCCTGAATAGCGTTATAGTCTGATGAATCTATAGAGCTGTCGGAGGAATCGCATCTCATTTCCTTAACTGTGACAGCTACAGACTTTAAAACTAATAGAGACATACGTTGCAATGTAGTCTTGTCTACATCACTCCTTTCGTTAACATCTTCATTATCATCTCCATAACTCTGATCAACTAATTGAATAGACGAAGATATCGGATTCACATCAGGACCGAGTGAATAATCCCGTATTATCGTGCATTCGTTACCTAAAAAACCAAAACCACTACTCCGTTGTAACCTCACATCTGTTAATAGTCTGAAATCTTTAACATATCTCACGATAGAATGCGCTAAACAACAAATCTCTTCAGGTAGGATATCTTGTAGCGCTAATGTAGATCCATAACATAGAACCTCGTTAAATAGACTTAATAAATGTGAATATATTAGACTGGGCAGCATTCTATTCCTCAATAGATCTACAAAGCTCTGTAAATCTGCGTAGAATGGTTTAGTATCAATTATTGACAGGTTCGCCTTAACACTTATTATATTCTCCCATAGGGAGAAAAATGTTAGTATACAGTTTTCAGCATTAGCTAAATTCAGGTACCTTAGTAGCAGTAGTTTCATATTTTTAACTAATACAGGCCAGTGATGTTCTAAAGTTTTTATCGTTAGACATTTAATGTGTGATGTATCAAAGGATTCAGAATCTGATAATATAACTGTGATGCAACCATTTTCACTGACCCTTTCTATTCTTGCGGGAGGAGGTTCTGGAGTAACTGGCCGTTCAGTTATTTGTTGATTAGAAAATTTTAATACTGGTTCATGTAACTTGAATGTTACTGATTTTTCAGGTGGTTTCTCTCCTGAAGAAGTTGATGGTGCACCGTGTGTTTGTAAATTAGAGAATTCATTATGTAGATTTTCAGTTCTTGAACCAGAAGGTGCTTGTGAGGTACTTCCATTGTGACTTGATGTACCTCGGAATGGGTTATCCTCTTGTACATTGTTTCCTGATGTATTAACATAATTACTGTCTTCTAGAGGATGCTGTTCAACATCCTTCCACTCGACTATCCTTTTGATAATATCCAAACTGAAATTAATCTTTTGCACTGTTATCCTATTAATTCTATCAAACAAGTATATATTTTCCGCTATTTGTTGAAGCCAGTTTTCATCGACTGTATCTTTTGAGACAATAAGAAAACTTGCTAAGACTCTACTGGCAACAAATGTTATAAATTTACTTTTGTGATCTGCTAACTCAACAACTTCTGTGATCCAATCATGCTGGTTTCTTACAAATATATCACAAGCCCTCATTAACCTTGAACAAATTGTACCTGTACTATTTTGTTTCAAATATATATCAAACATGAGCTGCATTGTTGATAGATAGGTTAATGAACAAGTGAGCGGCCATGAAACTATATTAAGTTGTCTGTCAAACAGTTGAGACACTACATTTTCATCATAACCACATAAGCATTGTCCAACAAGAGCATTTTGTAACTTTCTTAACTCTGTAAGTAATTTGTCATCTTCAGAAGTCCAATGGGGGGCAGGATTAGAACTGGACGGGATTATATCTATAGTAGAATCACTGGGCAGTCTAAGAATAGTCGAGCAGTCAACTGCATCTTCACTAGCAGTTCCACTATCAGGAGACTCTCCATTCCTTGATGTGAACTCTCCTGAAGTCTCTGCTGGTGTTTCAGATTCAAAGATATCAGTGAGAATATCTTCCGCCGATCTATCGCTGCCATCATCAATATCTGGCGCGTCGATTCGCTGTTTCTTTTTCACAGGTTGATCTGAGGCCATTCCTTCATCTGACTTTGGTGTTAGATGCCCTCGGAGAACCATTAACGCGCGTTGCGGTACAGCGAATAATAAATCTCCTTATATATAAGTAGATAAACGCATATCAAAAGGCTTGCTGTCGTTATTCTGGAAACAAAAAGGTGAATAAGTGTATGACCTTTTCTCAGCTACTCAGTTACGCGCACGACAAAGCCAAAGTAATTTTGACTAAAACGAACGTTTACAAATCTATAGAAAGTTGAAAAACATTAAATAGACGACCAACGCTAAATAATTTCATACCATAATTACATAATTTACGTTTACGTTAAAAGTTACAATTAACTTTCCAAAATATTTTGATGGCACACATACCATTGACAGACAACCTAGGTTGTTTGAACGCTTATTTGCATTAATGGTATCCATATATGACGTCTAACTTATCACTGCAATCCGTTAATGAGCACTAATACACAGTTTTAAGTGATATTTCTTAAGAATTCATATAAAATATTCAATCACAAAGTTGCGCACAGAACATCCACAGAACAGACTCCATTACGTACAATGACGCTTAATCGATTGAACTCCTAATTATTAAGGAATTTTGTAAACATTTAACAAATTTAAAGAGAGTTTAATGCTTGTAACTATTTAAAATATTTTAAAATCTTTGATAATAAGAGTATAAACCATTGAAAGCGATTGAATCATCGTTTTTAATAAAATAAGATGAATAAAATGTGTGGTATTTAACCTTCATATCCGGTTTGGACGTTGCCAGTTTGACGACTTCTGAATTTAGCAATTCAGACGAAAAGTAGCAAGTAATATTTCTGTGTGATGAACAGTAGCTAAATTTGTCACTGTACTTGAAAAGCATGACGGAATTTTAAAAACTGTTACAGTACTATTTAAGAAATGCGCATAACTGAAGCAAATTTTTATTTTGCTGATTAATGTAGATTGTAAAACACTGCGTTGCTTATTCAAACATATTTACATTGATTATTACATGATAAAATGCTTATCAATGTGATAAGATGCTATATTTTAACATTATTCTTTAATAATTCAAGATTTTTATTTCACTAATTGTTTACGATAAAATAATTTTGAATAAATGTTATTTCACTTTTTGGTAAATGGCAGCACTCAGTATCCCACAAGAAAAATGTCTGCTTTGCAAGTATCCGAGATTTAGTTATTTAGTTAAAATATTTGCCGTAGTAAGTGTAAATTTACATCACTAGAGATATAAGGTGAATATCACTAATATTAAGTTCATGTGTGGTGTAAAGATAACTTTGATGAGTCATAAAGTGTTTTTGCATAACAATCAATAGAATATATTTAGGTTAAGATATTTGGTGTTATATCCAATCGAGACAAAATTATCTAAATATTGATATTTCAAAGCTTTTTCCTATTGAATTTATTACAAGAGGTTAGCAGTCTTTTAACGTATTTATTCAAAGTAAATTAATTGAGATGTCATTATTACTAATTTCTTTTTTTTTGGTAATAATTATAATGCCTAGTTCTATTAGAGTTCAAATCTGATGATTACGACAGAGTACTACATAAATTGACACCTTCAACCTTGTAATAGATAGAAAGCAATTGTCTATAAAGTAAACCATTAGACCTTAGAAAATCTATTTCCTGAAAAGACTGCAGTGTTCATTAAGCGTCGCTCGTCGTCGATCGAAATACAACAGTTGACTGTATATTTTAAATTAAATATATTTAAATAATAATTTTATAAATGCAACTTTAGATGTTCTAATTCCGGAACATCTACGCAATTTTATATTTTACGATAACGAATTGTAAACACAGATAAAAATTTTATTTTTTCTTTTCAGCCTAAACGAAAATGGAATACACAATTTGTACAGATAATAAAGAAGTTGGTGATCAAATATCGACTTTTTGATGTGAATCTCACAGACTTTAGTGGAATAAATGTGGTTTGTGTCATTAAAAGTTGAGTGATAGTGACAGCATCCAGGATGTCTGATGAGGAGGACTCTTCGCCGGATAGGGCTTTAGTGCCCACCAACAATGTACCAGGTAACTTACTATTATATCCAAAACTTTAGAAGGGTGAATGTTAGAGTTTGTAGCTTAAACCGCTGAAATGAACTCAGAGAAATTTGGTAAGAACACATAGAACTTTTTAATTTCATATAGATGGAGTCATGGGTGAAAACTTTTTATGTATAAGATATTCTGTAAATAATCAATATATTTTGACTTCCATTTTATAACTTTATTGTTAAAATTACTGATACACTTACATATTTTGGTAAAAGCTATATAACCTTGGTTCTCAAAAATCTTATCAATTTGTATTACAATTAAGAAAACTCATGTCTAAAGGTCTGAAACTGTCCACAAATATACTCATCTCAGTCGCTTCAAAGTGTATGAGAGAGAAAACAAGTGTTTTATAAGTGTATTGCTAATGTAAACTCATGAAAGTGTTGTAAACAACATATGTAGTTACATTTTAATTTAGGCACTACTATGGCTGCTTGTATTTTTGTTTTAAGTTATGCAAATGTTAAGCTGATTTTCCATTAAGGTCTCCTATCTAGATTTACCTACAATATATAAAATTAAAAAAAAGTCACTACATCAGGGGTTCTCAACATTTCCTTGTTTAAGTACCACTTTTGTATTTATTATCTCTGCTTATTAAGTAAAAACTGAAACATTTTTAAGGTTTTTAGTTAGTTTCCCACTCTTTTCTAACTGCACTGACCAATGGCTTACTTTATAACCAGTTTATAGTTATTTTCAGACCATATTTTGGCTTCTGTAGTCCACTAGAGGTCCATATATCATTGACGAGGACCATTACAATGTATGGACATTTTTCTAGCCATGTATAAAGTTGGTAGTACAATGTTTAAAATGTTTTAGTTTCTACTGCCAAAGTACAAAAACATGTAACATCATATTATCTATACTTCTATACTATTACAATAAAGCATAAACACTCACTTCTTTGTTGCCTAAGATGTCAGCAATTACAGCATATTTTTGAATAAATATTTTTTTAATAAAAAGCCTTACACTTACGACACACTTCAGGCTATATATTTTCACGCCATTAAACTTAGGGGGTAAATATTTTGGATAAAAAACCTAATTTGGGAAAGAGACCATAAGTTGCTGCCAACATCAAAAAAGTAAGATTGCCATGGTTTGTCATGTCAAGTCATTTTAACATTTGCTATAAAATAAAATTTTCATAATTTCATGCAGATGATACCGCTCGGGAACAGCAAGTTTATTTAATATTTAGAATCAATCATTTGTATAGCTTTGTATATTATCCTCTTGAATTATATAAATTTTATGACTACATGAGGAAATGTTATAACAAATATAATAATACTTTTCCTTATAAAATAATAAAGTTTAATTAAATAATGTATGAATATTTGTTGCTTATGTCACCAACAGATTGAGAATATTGCATATTATACTGGTCTTATACACAGTGTCAGATATTTATAATAAAGCGTAAACACACACTTCTTTGTTGCCTAAGATGTCAGCAATTACAGTATATTTTTTGTGTTTTTATAAAAAGCCCTACACTTACGTCACACCGTATATATTCAAGCTATCAAACTTAGGGGGGTAAATAATATGGATAAAAACCCTAATGTGGGAAAGAGACCATAAGTTGCTGCCAACATCAAGAAAACAAGATTGCCAAGTTTTGTCATGTCATGTCATTTTGACATTTGCAATTGACAATTTGACAGATGTAAACATTAAAATAATTTTTTGCTGATGTTATTGTACATGAACAGCTAGTACTAGTATATAATTAAATAATCATATGGTGAGCAACATTTTTTACTAAAGAGTAGGCTAAAGTTTGTTAGAGTGGTCTCTGTCAAATATTCAAAACACATGCTACTTATAGATTTCTGGAAACCATAGCCAAATTACTAATGCTGAGTTTCTGAAGTATCCATTTATTTTATCGTTACTGATTCATTAGTGTCAGGTTGACTTAGTTTCATATCAAATTATCAAACTAAAAATCCTAACAAATGATTAAAAGTAACTGGGAAACTGGCCATAAGTTAGCTTACTAAGAAAAATTCCACAACCTCATAGAAAGGTGTGAAATAACCAGAGTATGCTGTTTTTATCAAGTGAGGTTCATTAAATATTTTGATTAATGTAGTTGGAAGGAATTTGTATTTTAATATCTTTCACATCAACTCTATTCTACTAGAGTATTAGCTGTCGTCCGCGACTTCGTCTGCGTAAATTAAAAAATAAATTTAAAAATAGCCTATGTTACTCACAGATAATTCTTTCGAATGCTAGAGGAATATTTAAAATCGGCCCAGTAGTTTTTACGTGAATTGAATACAGCGTTTAATACATTTAGGCCCTACCCCACCACTGGCTGATAGAGGCTCAGATTAAAAAATTACGTCACTGTTAGATAAATGAACAAAATCCGATATTTCCATCACATATTTTATACGTTCGATTGTTATCAGACAATTTACAATTTGGTGGGACAGGCCCTTAATGTAACTATTATTACTGTACTGTACTGTACTGATAATACTTGTCAAAGTTGTAGCACAGTAGCTTATTATGAGATAGAGCTAGATTAAGAGCTCCTGCAGACAGCAGACTTTATTAGCCAATAACTTAGTAGGATGCATGATCAATATGAACATGTATGGAGGTGCGGACATTACACTGTTTAAATATTAATTAACTAGCTTTCGCCCGCGACTGCATCAGCGTGGAATAAAAAAACAGAAAAGTAAGAAGCCTATGTGTTCTTCCAGACTATGTCCTACATCTATGCCAAATTTCATCGAGATCTGTTTAGCCGTTTAGGCTACAAACTCTAATAAACATCTATCTATCCAAACTTTCACATTTGCAATAGTATCAGTAAGATAGTCTGTAGGGACTTTAAGAAGGATTCTATTGACTAGAATGAACTAAAATGATAGAAGGTAGATCAATCTTCTTGTAAGCAGTGTAAGGGTAAGATGAAAGTGGCTTATCAAAATAATTGAAAGCTTCACACTTGTCAGCAGTCAAGTGAAAACAATTTCTGTTCACGGTACATTGACCGTTTAGAAAGGGGCCCAATCATTAGATCGAATTTCTATAAGGTGGAATAGTGTCGAATTACTTACTGTTTAGTTCACGACAGGTCACGTGAACGGAACCTATGTAACGGAGTTGGTGACAGGATATGAAAGTGAGAAGACTTAGAGCCTGTCCCACCACTGGCTGATAGAGGCTCAGATAGCATAAAAATGACTGTAGGATAAGGGAACAAAATCTGATATTTCTGTCACATATTTTACATGTTGGATTGTATCTGACAATTTATAATACAGGCCCTTAGGTAGCAAGACTAAAATCATAAAGGAGATGCCACACGGGCGGTGCGTCGACTTTACGTTGTAGTATCGTTATATAGGTTTAAAATAAAATACAGGACCATTGCCATTTGTTAAGTTTAAAGTAAACTTCAAATAATTAGTAATTTTGAAAATCAAAGCAGAGAAAGTTCTACAAAGTTTACTGAAAGTCAATGCGGTGCGCCAACGCAACGGGAACGCAACGTCCGTGTGGCATATTTCTTTTATATTTGTGGCATGGTTTAAATGTGAAATATGAACTATTTTAGAATCCTCTGACGTAAAGCTAAAACTTACTAAAAAGCATGTTAATAAAATACACATATATAGAAGTTGTAAGCTGTACACTTAATTGCAAAAATAATTGACGTACTCTAAATACTGACAAACAAATTGCGTGCAAGCATAAGGTGCTTAACGCCCCTTCCGGTCTGTTAGTGATCTAAAAATCGATTATTGTTAGGGGAAACTAATATTGCTAAATATTTAGCGATAATTATAACGTTGTTTTAGTTATCGCGTTTAGAAATCTGAAAGTTTGCATGGTGAAACCCCTTGGTAACTAATTGTTGGCACAAGGAATGTTTACTCGTATATTGGTTACTATGTTAAGACTATGGTAAAATAATTATGTTTAAAAATCAATATAAGTATGCTAATAAATTTCTATTCGAGAATTCATTTAGGCTACGCAAGTCATGTAACGGAAATAACCGCGAAAATATTACCCAAGTCTTTAAAAAATTAGGTTATGCAGTTTTGAAATAAATCGTCGTATATGTCATTAGAAATGCCGTGAGAATAAGAGCATGCAAAGAATACTTTTTAATGGCTTTGTAGTGCTGGGAGAATAAATCTAGAAAAATGTTTTGAATGCCATTTAAAATGCACTTAAGTGTAAAGAAGTCTCCAAGTCTATTTGGGTCACTTGATAGCTGGCTCACTGCCTTTTTCGTGACTTGTCGACAACTCGATAATAATTTCGCTTTTATATGAATTAAAATTGTGTCAAGGGTTAATTTTTTTTTATTATGAGCATTAGTTAGTTATTTATAATTGGATACTTGACCAAGAACAGAATAATTGGGACTTACAGTGTGCTTATTCTTCCGAATCTATACAAATCACCTATAATGATGTTATAAAGAGGAAAGATTTGTATTTTTGTATGTATTGAAATAACTCAAAAGCTACTGAACCGATTACAAAAATTCTTTCACCATTAAAAATCTACGTTATCAGTAACATTGAATGTATTTTTTTTTAATTTCACGCGGGTTAAGTCACGAGCAACAGCTAGTACTTCATATTATTTAAAAATGCTAAATTTTTAAATAGATGTTTGTTATTTATCTTCAAATCAGCTTAAAAGACCTCGATGTTATTTGGCAAATATGTAGAATATAGTCTGGAACAATACATAGGCTTTCTAAGATTTTTAAATTCAGCGCAGATGAAGTCTGGTCCAAAACCTAGTATTTAAATATTTCACATTTTATTTAAGCGAAAGCATGTGGTAGATTGCAAATACAACTTTCTTAAGACTGGTCTGTTTTTTTTTCGGTGCGTTCCACCGAAGATCCTGGTTCCCCACTAGACTCCTCACTAGTAGCACTAGAGGCTGGCCACCGAGGGGGTATAGTAGGTATAACCCTAAATAACCATGTCCTAACTTGGGGAAAAGGTGTCTTTATTAAGATTTCCCCCGTGGAAAACAAAGTTTTTGGTCCTAAGAATTGTATACTCAAGTTTAAGACTGAATTGTACTAATTGATAGCGTGTACCACCTGCAAGGGCAACGGTTAGTGCGTAAATTAGTAGCCGCGGCCACTGCGTTGGCCAGTGACCATTACGGTGGCCATTTGCAAAAGTGTGGCCAGTGGCCATTGCATGCCAGTGGCCACTGATTTACACACGCCGACGCGCATCAGTAATAATCATTATACTCCGCGCATGGCTATGGGATATCCTTTTTGATTTGGACGCATTGTTACGGCGCCCGTTTCCTGTTGATTGTTTTTTTTAATTTCTATTACTTGTATGTATGTGTTAAATGGCTGACTTGTTGATGTTTGTGTAGGTAGCTTTAAGTTGACAAGTTGTTTTTGATCTGTCTTTATTGTAACTTTAATTGGTACTTTGTTTTAATTATCTTTACTAATATTATAAAGACGCAAGATTTGACTTTTTGGATTTTTGTATGTATTGAAAACTACTGGACCAATTTCAAAAACCTTTAAAAAGCTATGTTATAACTGAGTAACATAGGGTATATTTTTACTTTTTTTTATTTGACGCGGGCAAAGTCGCCACCAACAGCTAGTCACCGGACGAGTCGAACCATTCGTTGGAAGATGTTAAAGCGGGCTCTAACACTGTCAAAGATACTAATAAGAAAGATACTGTACTTGCAGCTTTCAGTCTAGTGTAGAAGCTACTTTTATTTGTCCTTCAAAATTGAACACCGCATCTCAAACTTTGGTTATCATTCGTTTAGTTTGAATATTATGTGTCCTTTAAATGTAACAGAGTATAAACGGGATCTACATGTAGTAAACATATGTAGGTCAATGAACTATCGTGTTCGTGGGGGCGACAAGCTATGACAATGTGAGAATCATTGTTACCATTATGAGACAATCTTGTCATAATACATGCTTTAGGGCATGTTCATACGAAGCGATCAGCGATTGTAAGTCTATATGTTAGTGTGAACGTGAAGTCATTTACACTTATATAAGAAACGGATTTTTATTTTTGTATGTAACGAATAGATTATTTTTACTATTAGATAGCATATTACTAACACAGACTGTTTTTTCACTTGCTTTCGCCCGCGAATCCGTCCGCGTGGAGTTACAAAACAAAAGCAAGTAGCCTACGTGTTTTTACAGTCTATGCTCTAGATCTTTGCCAAATTTTTACCAGATCCGTTCAGCCGTTTAGGCTACAAACTCTAGCAAACATCTATCCATCCATCCATCTAAACTTTCGCATTTATTTATTCATTTAAAGAAAAGAAATAATATGTTTCATTTATAATATTAGTAAGAAGTAAGATTATTAGATTTTTTAATTCCGCGTGAATCAAGTTGCGGGCAAATGCTAGTGTTTTATGTGTCACAAATTGCAGCGTTTCTAATAAGAATTTGGAACTATCGGCCATATTGTAACTAAATTTGACCAAATTGTAAAAAAATTAGGCCATTTAAACCATAATGCACGTATATTTTTTTATGTTTAGGTATAGGTGGACGACTTTATGTTTATTTTATATATTAGACATGCAGGTTGGATCACGATGTTTTATTTTATAGTAATGAGTCAATTCTGTAATAAATTATTTTTAACTAGCTGTTGCACGCGACCTCGACCCCGTGAAATTGAAAAAAAATAATAAAAAAATCGCCTATGTTACTCACAGATAAATTACCTTTCTAATGGTGAAAGAATTTTTGAAATCGGCCCAGTAGTTTTTATGTGAATCGAATACATATAAAAATACAAATCTTTCCTCTTTATATTATTAGTATAAAATTTATAATAACTAGTTAAAATTTGTTCAAATATTATAAAGAGGAAAGATATGTATTTTTTTATGTATTGAAATAACTCAAAACGATAGGGCCGACATTTTAAAACATTTAAATAAGTCTTGCACCATTAACCACTAACAGACTTCTTTTTTTGCTTTTTTTAAATTCCACTCGGACAAAGTCCCGAGCAAAAGCTAGTGAATTAGTATAATATAAATATTTATTTATTGTCCATTTATATTCACAGTAAAGAGAATTCAGTATAAAAATGTTTTAATTTATGCCACTGCTAAATAAATCCGTTATATAAATGAGATTGGATTTGCAACCAAATGACTTCGTAATCCTTCTTATATTCACATACCAGAGGTTTATCTGCTAATTAAGGCCTCTACAGTGCAGCGAAAGCGAAACGTAACCGATGCGAATCCGAAACACGTGACGTAGAGTTTGCTCTATTTAAATTCACGAATAAGATATCGGTCATGTCTCTTAGCATATAAAATGTTTATAATTTATTCCATTAATAGTAAAATACAAGGATTAGGGAAAATCTCATTTTAAATAGTGAGTGACCGTACTTTCGGTTTCGGTTTCAGCACAGTTTCGGCCGAAATATAACCGAAACTTTTGGCCCCGCAGTAACTGGAGTGTTTGTTAATTTTTTTGTATCGTCACGTATCAATTTATTGCAAATGTTTTTAAATATTTTTTTACTAAAAACAAATTAATGTCTATTATAAATAGTAAAACATTAATTACAAAGCTTTTGATCCGTGCTTTAAGAATCCTGTAAAATTATTTAAAATACACTACACTCTAGTCGTAATCTTAAATGTGTTTTCGGAAGTTTTGATTTCTGTTTCTGACACAGAGAGCTATGCGGAAAGTTCGGTTTCGTGCTCGGTCAGACACTAATTAAAAAGTCTTATAAGAAATGTTATTCCCTCATTATGAATTTCATAATATCTGTCTAACTCTTTGAGTTATTTTAATCTTCTGTCTACACCTTTATACCAATATCATTTGAGGTCGACCTATCGCCTTAATTAACACAGCAATATTCTTTGAGGCTTGGGTTAAAAAGTTGTCAAAAGAAACAAGTCACCAACAGTTGTAAGAGGGATTCGTTTGTTTGCGCCCTTATACTAGGTCACTGGGTCGCTGGATACACGAGTGTTAATTTTAGCTCGCATGCATTTTAAAGTGGACCGCTTTTTATATCTTTAATGGCCTAGCTTTCCCCCGTGACGTAGGCGTAGGTAAAGACAAAAATAAGCTCCCAGTTGGGGGTCTTGGACCTGCGCTATTGCGCTCTTGTGTTAAAATAAACATTAAATGCGGGCACAGCTTTGACTAAACTACTGCAAAACTGTTGTGCGATTGTCGATTGTTTCGCAGCCTTCAACTGTTTAGTTGCACAACTAAAAATCGAGTCTGCACCTCCATCTAAGCTCATAGGAATCAAAGCGTGATTAATCAGTTTTGCGATAGTTTGATCAAAGGTGTGTGCACGCGCTAACAAAACACTAAGCAAGCTGTCTTTAGATGATTGCTTAAACTATCCACCCTAAGGAATTCCCTTAATGACTAAACAACGAATGTAGCAGTAAGGTTTTATCGGTTTTATCATACTTTCGTCAAAACGATTTTGTAACATTGCTTTTATGTCCTGAAGCATAGATTGAAAACACCGCGACCAACATTTATCAAACTATTAATTATTGCCCATAACAAAAGCCTGCCGGATCACATGACGGCGGTTACCAGCCTCGCGTCTCTTAAATATTTAATGCCTGATTTATCCAGAAAGTCCTTCATAGTGTTGAGGAATTATTAGAATAAAATTATTTGCAATATTTGTATAAATTTTATCTTATTTACCTATTTTACTTATATAAATCTTTGGCTAATAAAATTATTATTATTGTCCGTTTTATATGTTTTAAGTAATACTTTACATGTCCGCAGTGTTGGGCATCAAACGCCTCAAGCAGATTGAGACGATGTTCGTCTCGCGGCGGTTACAAGGACCTCGCAGTAATGGCTTCAGTGCAGAGACCCTGTTGGATATGCTGCTTGTACTCTACGATGAATGCTGTAACAGCAGTCTGCGGAGGGAGAAAGCTGTTGCTGACTTCATACAGTATGGTGAGTTAATCCTTGGACGTACTTAACTATACTAATATAATAAAACGTAAATACACTACTTCATGGCGTAGGATGTCAGCAATCACAGCATGTTTTTGAATCATTCTTTTTATTTAAAGTTCTACACTTACGACACTTATTTTAGGATATATATTTTCACGCTATTAAATTTAGTTGGTATATATGTTGAAAAAAAACAGTCATGCAGAAAAGGGAAAAGCAACAAGCGAATAGCAAAAAATAAGCAAGATTGCCATATTATCTCTAATTGTTAGCCAATGTCAACAGCCTTCATTGTCATTTGGGTATTTAAATTTTGACATATACAAATGTAAATAATAACAAAGTTTTTATAATTTCACGCAAATGAGATATAACAGTGAATTCTGAATTATCACTTGTTTCTCAGTATGTAAAAAGGGCAATGATAGGATTAGAAAGACAGGTGAAGGCCTCAGTAGGCATTAAACAGTGCTTGAAATTTCTCCAATTTAATGTAATAGAAATATATATAAAGGGAATTATGTATAAGTTACGCATATTGCCCAAAGAAATGCAAATATTTTGTAATACTCGAAATGAAATCTTCTAAAATCTGACTCGAAGGACCAAGAGATTTTCTTAAGTTTTCTTAACTAAGTCGTTTTGCATTGTATTTTATTGTTTGATAGACTCAAATTTAGTATCCTATGTTAACTATTTATGGTAATGTTTTATTATGTTTTTTTTTCCAGTAAAACCTGTGGCTACGGCTCTCAAGCGATTAAGGTTGTCAAGAGACGACTTTGAATTAGTCAAAGTGATTGGCAGAGGCGCTTTTGGAGAAGTTTGCGTTGTGCGGGCCTCATTTATGCAGGTAAATTATTAAATACTAACTGTTTCTTTCATTTCCACGTGAAATTAAAAATATTTTAAAAAACGTGGCCTATGTCTGATAACGTAGCTTTTTAATGGTGAAAGAATTTTTGAAATTCTTCTAGTTGATTTTTCAGTGATTGCAATACATACAAAAATACAAATCTTTCCTCTTTATAATATTAGTATTGATTAATATTAATACTAGAAATTCCAAGTTGAGAGAAAAAGATTTTTCTAAGGTAAATAATTTTAGAGGTAAAGTAAGGTTTAAGGTAATATTAGTATAGATGTAAGTAGTAATGTAAAGTTTTGCAATATTCCAGGGCACCGACGGCGGGGGCAACATGGCGGCGGCTACAGGCGGCACCGTGTCCTCCACGACCGGCGAGAGAGTATACGCAATGAAGATATTAAATAAGTGGGAAATGTTGAAAGTAAGTGCATTTTCATTATTATCATGGAAAAAATATATAGTAGGTTTTGCCCGTGAAAAAAATTAATAGCCTGTGTTCTTTCAGACTGTCCGCCACATTTATGACATTTTTTTAAAGATCCGTTAAGTTTAGACAAACTCTAACAAACATCCATCTACAATTTGCATATTTAATATAGTAGCTGGTGCTCGCGATTTCTCGTCGAGTTAAGAAAAAATAATAAGAAATAGCCTATGTTACTCAGCGATAACATAGCTTTTTACTGGTGAAGAAAATTTTTAAAATCAGTTTTTGAGTTATTTAACTTCAATTATGTCTTTACAATCAGTATGTGTTATATTTGTGTAGTCTTGTTCCCTTTGGCAGTAAAAATGTTTTATGCTATTCTATTCTATTCTATTCTAACTGTTTTGGTTTTCTTTTTCAGCGAGCTGAAACTGCGTGCTTCCAAGAAGAGAGAGATGTTCTAGTCTTCGGAGATAGAAGATGGATAACGAATTTACATTACGCCTTCCAAGATGAACACAATTTGGTGAAAAATCAGTTATTTAAATAACTAGCTGTTGCTGCGCGCTTAGCTCTCGTGAAATTAATAAATAGTAAAAAATATAGTCCATGTTACTCAGCGGTGACATATATTTTTATTGGTGAAAGAATTTGAAATCGGCCAAGTAATTTTTGAGTTATTTAATACAAACAAAGTTACAAATCTTTCCTCTTTATAATATTAGTATAGACTACTAGCTTTCGCCCGTGACTCCGTTCCCGTTGAATTAAAAAAAAAACAAAAGTGAGTAGCCTATGTGTTCTTCCACACTATTCACTACATCTGTACCAAATTTAATCGAAATCCGTTCAGCAGTCTAGTCTATAAACTCTAACAAACATCCATCCATCTAAACATTCTCATTTATAATATACTTTATAATAATACTACCTTCTGCCCGCGGCTCTGTCCGCGTGGTATGAATAAAAACAAAAGAAAGTAGCCTATGTGTTCTTCCAGACTATGCTTCAAACTTGTGCCAAATTTCATGGAAATCCGTTCAGCCGTTTAGGCTACAAACTCTAATAAACATCCATCCATTCAAACTTTCTCATTTATAATATTAGTAAGATTAGTAAAATTGAATGGTTTTTCAGTACCTGGTGATGGACTACTACTGCGGCGGGGACCTGCTGACGCTGCTGTCCAAGTTCGAGGACAGGCTGCCGGAGGACATGGCGCGCTTCTACATCGCGGAGATGGTCCTCGCGGTGCAGAGTGTCCACGAACTTAGATATGTACACAGGTTAGTATTGTTAATAAGAAAATTATTACTGTAGAATAGAGAATATGCATGTATTTTTCTTTTTTTTAACCAGATGTAATTAACAGAAAAAAAGTGAGCCAAAAATATTCAACCATTGAGTTAAAGAAATAAAATTATGATCATTTTCGTGCGGCTAAAACGCGACCCGAGCTAGCTTGAGACACGTGACGTCAATTGTTCCATTCCAACAAAGTATTTCATTAGTTCTCGGAGTTATCGAAATTCAAAAACCTCATTATTATAAAAAATCTTTACAGGTATGTTTTTATAGTAATGAAAAATACTTAAAATAATTTGGTCCAATGTTGCCTATTTTCAGAGACATAAAGCCAGACAATGTTCTACTAGACGCAAGCGGACACATCAGACTGGCTGACTTCGGCTCCTGTCTCAGGCTGGGGGATGATGGAAAGGTAATACTAGCGTTTACCTCCGGATATCCTCGTATCCAAGCCTATGTGTTCTTGCACTATGTCCTCCATCTGTCACTTAGGGATCGATTAAACCATTTGTAAGATTACAATTATTTATTTATTTTTTACAATCTTTCATATTTATAATACAGTAGTACCTTGATAATTCCAAACCTCGGTAATAAACCTCTATAACTTCAAAAAATAATATGTTCTCTTCCCATCAGAGCCTAAAACCTCTATAACATAGACCCTTGATAACTTAAAATGTTTTGTGTTTCCCTTGGACTTTAACTTATCAGTAGGAAAATTTTGTTTTAATAACAAAGTTGTTGATCACACACAGAGAGTATTTAGTGGTTATTAAATTGTTTAGTGTAGATTGGTTACTAAGGGACCGTCTTAGTAGCGATTTCCGATTATTTAATTTAAACCTTATCTTTGTTTGTTTTAGGTACAAAGTAATGTGGCAGTGGGAACGCCGGATTACATATCGCCAGAGATATTAAGAGTAAGTTATAATTTGTTTACATAATAATGTTTTTATAATCATGATTTGTCAAATATCTACGCATAGAGCTCGAAACTGTAGTCAAAAGTTGACGTCTAAGTTTTAGTAATATTAAACTATAACGTCGCTTATGGTTTTGTGTTATAGGAATTTCAGTTGTCGGATTCTCCGTATAACACGTTTTTCAATAGTCCAGACAAATAAACCGCGTTGTACAGGGTTCTTTTTATAAATTGTTGGTTATAAAACGTTATAAGGGGTTATTTTATAAGTGGTTGGGAGTGTTTTAGTCATTAGGGGCTCTATTATAAATGACTAGCTGTTCCCGTGCGGCTTCATCCGCATGAAATTATGAAAATTTTATTTTATTGTTTACATATGTCAAATTATCAATAGCAAATGTCTAAATGACGTGACATGTCAACCTTGGCAATCTTACTTTCTTGATGTTGGCAGCAACTTATGGTCTCTTTTCCACATTAGGATTTTTATCCAAAATATTTACCCCCTAAATTTAAAGGCGTAAAAATATATAGCCTAAAGCGGGACGTAAGTGTAGGGTTCTTTATTAAAAGAAGATATTTTCAAAAATACTCTGTAATTGCTGACATTTTGGGCAACAAAGAAGTGTATGTTTACGCTTTATTATAATAGTATAGATTGGGAATATTAGCGTTATAAGGGGTTCTTTAATAAAATTTGGTGGAACATTTCCTTTATAGGTTTTTTTTTTTAACTGTTGGGACTATTTGCGTTATAGGACGTTGAAATGAAATGAATTGTTATGTAGGTGGTATAAATATGCATTATTAATTCTCAGGCAATGGAAGATGGCCAAGGGCGTTATGGACCGGAATGTGATTGGTGGTCGTTAGGTGAGTTTTAATTTCAGTTTAATGGTTTAAGTTTTGACTAGTATTATATTTCTCTATAACGTCGTCTGAGAGCGTCGGTGGCTCAGGGGTTTAAAACCTACAGGTCTTGGGTTAGAATCACGCCAAAATGTGTGATTTTCGGATTTCATATATACATAATTTACCCGACGTTCTTACTGCGAAGGATAACATCGTGATATACATATCTGTGAAGAAATTCAAAGATATGTGTGAAGTCAACCCGCATACAGCGTGGTTGGCGAAATTCTGCCTACCCCTAACTTAGGGTAGGCACCCCCTCAGCCAGTGGGGCGTCGCGGTGGCAAGCGCAAGCGATCCCGTGGTGTCCCACAATGGCCAGGAGGGAACGAAGGGGTTAAGTGAGGTATGCCCCCCACTATGGGGGGAGAGTCCCACATAATTCGCGTGTCTGTCCAGAGGCACGGAGTATGCGTAACGCATTCCCCATCGAAAAAAAAAGGCACCCCCTCTGTGGGGTTATAATGAGTAAGTTCATATTTGTCTATATGTATATTTCCAGGTGTGTGTATGTACGAGATGTTGTTCGGTGAGACGCCGTTTTACGCGGAGTCGTTAGTGGAGACCTACGGCAAGATAATGAACCACGCG